GAACACAGACATCTATTCTCATTCGTATTAACTAGCTGGTGATAAGATTGCCCGTTACCGACCTGATCGCCTCCGCCAACATAAACCATAGAACCACTCTAAGGTTTNTCCCTTGGAAACAGTTAACCTATAGAGCCTATAGGACCCGGTTCGTCACACGATAACAACTCTTGTTCGGACGGTCACCTTGGACCTACGGGCAATAAGACACCAAGGACTCAATAGCTGATGAGCTTCCGAGTCCCAGACAACGACACTGATTACGAGAGCGAAGCTCAAAGTGATCACGACAACAGCGACATCAAAATACAAGATAATTTCGAAGAAACCCCTGAAGACGTCGAAATGGCCCCTCAACCGCCAGCCAATACGCAAGAAGCCGAACAACGCTTCTTGGCACTTGAAGAACTTGTGGATTAGTTACGCCAAACAATTGCTACCTAAGCAACCACCATAACGACGCTTCAAGGACGAACACCAGTGGCAAACCCCGTGGTAAACCCAGCCCCTGCGGCACGTCAACGGGAACCCGAAGAAATCATTAAACCACCACTGCTAGATAAATTCAAAGGAGATCCTAAGCAAATTCAGAAATTTTTCACGGACATAAGAAACTACTTCAGTTACTTTCCGACCACCATGGCTAACGATGTTATAAAGATTCGAACTGCAGGAACCTGTTTGTCCAAAACCGCTAAAGACTGGTTTAAACCACACCTCAGGGATTTTGAACAAACCAAGACACCTAAGAAACAATACACAATCGACTTATTCAACAATTACACCACGTTCGAAAAACAACTCGAGAAACTATGTAGAAAAACTAATAAGTCCAAAGAAGCCGAAGATGCGCTCCTTCAAATCAAGCAAAAAGGACCCTGTGCAAAGTACACTGCCGCTTTCATACGCCTAGCTGCCAGGACCAACTTAAATAACAAAGTACAACGCATGCTCTACTACCAGGGACTCAACTCAGACGTCAAGGATAAACTCTCCAGAGATAAAAAACCTAATACCCTTAACAAACTCGCGGAAAAAGCCACTCGTATCGATAAACGACAATTTCAGCAACGCCAGGAACGCAAGAGAGAGGGAAATCCCCAGAAGACAGTCCCAAAGCATCTTTACTCCGGTAATAACGCCAACCAGGGAAAGAAAAGGGACCTTGCGACATACAACGATAGAAAGCCAGGACCTATAGACCTCAGCACCATCGAGGCACAACGTAAGAACGTTAAATGCTATAATTATAGAAAGAAAGGACACGTAAAGAAATATTATCGAGCCCCTAAGAAAGATAGCAATAAGAAATTCACGCCTGTCCCAGAGCCTAAGGAGAACTGAACTATTAATACCATAAGACCTTCGGTAGACCATAACATCCTACACTTCTCAGCGTGCTACGATAATAACTGTCAGACCCATCGCAGCAATAAACAAGGATCGGGATAGTACCCCAAAGGGCGTACACAAACCTTGAACACGCTTGAAGAAGACACCCAGGAGGACCTCAGCTACGTTAAACAACTTATTCAACAAAGCCTCAACGAGCAAGAACAAAACGACAAATTCAAGGATAAGGAAGAGGTACTCCGAGAATAGAAACAAAACGAAGACATACACCAGTACAACGAGGATCTTCCAGACACAGCACCTCCGACACAATATAACCCTTGTAAAAGAATAACTCAGGAAGAAATCAACGACCTCGAGAAGCATATGTGCAACCAGTGCGGATCAGTCGAACCCAAGGGACCATATCACCCTTATAAGATAACCACAGCCGACTAGGAATAACACAAAGATCAATACGGAATCCAAGGTATTATCGAAGAAAACCAACACTACGACGAAATCGTACAACAAAAAGAACTCAAAGACCAACAGAGACTCCTTAAACAATGGGGACAGATTAAACAGATTAATCTAAGTACCGCCTACGACCAGATCTAATTACACGGAAATCGGTTTTGATAATACATCAAGACCAACGCAGACGAATACCCAATAGCCAAGACACTAGAATCAACCCTATACCACGTCGACGACATCCTACTCACAGACCAATGTAACGAAGCCAACATTATCAACTACAAGCTACTACTATGCAAACAACATACCATAATCAAACTTCAGGAATGGCATAAGGACCACGGGGCTGCAGAATATGGACAAAAAGAATTTACGCTCTGCAACAAAGATCGTTGCAAGAAACATCAGTACCAACGCCGAGCCCTCGCATGCGTCACCTACAACCTGGAACGACAAGGATTCAACCTAGCAAGACATGGCGATAACGACGAATTACGAGGAATCAACTGGAACAACCTTCGGAAATACCACAAGCTCACCGCCAGACACATACCCAAACCCAGATGCACCTAGTGTAAACGCTATAACATTCGAAACAAAGAACCAGGATAGATCACCTCAGACCTAGACGACATCGATATTAACCCTTACGGCAATAATTATTACAACGGCGCCGACGATGCGACCTACCACAACCTGAACACCATAACAGGAGGAAAGAAACTACGGAAATTCCTAGTAGACGGATGGTTGAACGATGAACCAATTACAGTCTACATAGATTCCGGAGCCACGACAAGCTATATTGCGCCTCAACTGGTTAACCGCCTATAGTTAAACCATCGTAAGAAGGAGAAACCATACACCCTTGCAAGCATTAAGAAACAATAATTCATATACAACAACGGAACTATCGACCGCAAGACTGATCACCTTATAATCCAGTTTAGTGAAATTAAGGATACGTTTAAATTCGACATTGCAAATATTGTAGGATATAATATACTTTTAGGATACAATTGGCTTGAATCGCGCAACCCCGACATTAACTGGATCAGAGGCCAGGCGAGATAGCGAACTCGCCCTGAACCAATTGATTTCAGAGACATACTGTGACTAGATCAGGAGGATCAACAGGATGCCATAACATCCCCGACGACAGGATCGGTGACCCCTACATTAAACCAAGAAACAAAAAAACACACGGAAAAACAAAAAATCACAAAGCAAGTACAATTAGAGAAGCCAAAGAAGCTCCCGAGGACAGTCAAATACGTTAAGAAACCAAAAAAGAAACAGCTTAGATTTCTTAACTCGATTATACAAAAGGTCAAGGAATTATACCACCGAGACCAACAGACACCAGAACGTTTAAAGAACATACCAACAGACCTCCAGTATATGCCAGTCTTCAATAAAGAACTTAACACTGGACTACCAAAACACAGCCAATGGGATCATAAGATTAAGCTTATGGACGACAAAGTCCCAACATTCAACAAAATCTACAACCTAAGTACCACCGAACTCAAGACACTCGACGAATGGATTAAAGACCAGCTGAAGAAAGGCTACATCAGACCTTCTAAATCCTCAGCAGGATATCCAGTCATATTCGTGCCCAAAAAGAACGGTAAACTTCGACTTATTATAGACTACCGACAATTAAACGCGATAACCAAGAAAGATATCACGCCACTACCACTGATTCCGGAAATCAGAGACCGGCTTACAGGAGCCAAGATCTTCACTTCGCTAGATCTCAAAGGAGCATACAACCTCATCCGAATCAAGAAAGGCGACGAATGGAAAACCGCCTTCCGCACAAGATACGGACTTTACGAATATTAGGTAATGCCTTTCGGACTTACAAACGCCCCAGTATCTTTCCAGAAAATGATCAACTACGTACTACGAGACTACGTAGATCATTTTGTCATTATATACCTTAACGACATCCTCATCTACTCCAAGAACTTGGAAGAACACAAGGAGCACGTCAAGAAGGTACTACAAACACTCTAAGACAACAAACTCCTGGTGGAACCCGAGAAATGCAACTTCTACACACAGAAAGTCATATTCCTAGGACATGTCATTACCCCAGGCAGAGTCCAAATAGACCCTAAGAAACTCAAGGCGATTAACGATTAGGAACCGCCACAGAACGTCAAGCAAGTACAAAGCTTCTTAGGACTTGCCAATTACTACCGACGCTTCATCAAGGACTTCTCAAAAATTACCACGCCACTCACGAACTTGACAAAGAAAGACGTCAAATTCGAACTCACACAAGACGCTCTAACAGCCTTCAAACGCCTCAAACGAGCCCTCACCAGTGCACCAGTACTCATGATGTTTGACCCAAACAAACCCATCACAATCAAAACCGACGCCTTAGACTATGCAATCGGAGGAGTACTCAGCCAACCAGACGAAAAAGAGAAACTCAGGCCTATCGCCTACTTCTCTAAGAAACTACACAGACTAGAACTCAGATATCCCATCTACGATAAAGAATTCATGGCCATATACCAAGCGCTCAGCAAGCAGCATTGGAGACACTATTGTAAAGGAAGTCGATTTCCAGTGACAATCCTCACGGATCACCGGAACATCACTTACTTTATGACAACACAAGAACTATCCCGCAGACAAGTCAAGTACTATAAGCGACTCTCCGAGTTTAAGCTTATTATTAAATACTGCAGCGGATCAGACAACGGACGCGCTAATGCACTCAGCAGGCGCCCAGACCACTTCCAAGAAATCCCGGAAGTTAAGGCACAAATACTGGAGAAAAACCAGTATAAAGACCTAGTCATCCGATCGATCGACACCTTGTACCAAATCGAGATAGACGACCCGATCATCGACGACATAAAGGAACACGTCAAGAACTGGGAAAACGAACAATACCCAGAAGGTGTTTCTATGGACACTGGATACCCGACACTAGATGGACTCATCTAGGTACCAGAAGACTTACGAAGCAAAGTGGTGAAATCAGTCCACGCACACAAACTTAACGGACACCGTGGAATCAGAAAAACCACACAACAAATCGCACGATACTTCAAATTTGAAGGTATCAAGAAATAGGTACAGAAGGTTATATCAGAATGTATGACATACGGACGAGCCAAAAGCTCCAAGCATAAACCCTACGGACAGCTACAACCACTACCTATACCACAGCGACCATGGGAATCGATCTTATTTAACCTAATCACCAAACTACCTTCTTCAAAAGAACCAGTCACAAGGGTACTCTACGACAGCATCTTCGTAGTAGTCGACAGACTTACGAAAATAGCCTACTTCATACCATTCAAGGAAGCCAGCAATGCAGAAGAATTAGCTTATATAATAATAAGATACGTCACAAGCAACCATGGACTGCCGGGGGACATGATCTCCGACAGAGGAAACACATTCGTATCCAAATTCTGGAAAGCACTCACAGCCAGATTAGGAACGAATCACAAGGCCAGCACAGCCTACCACCCACAGACAGACGGACAGACGGAAAGGATCAACCAAATAATTAAGACCTATCTACGCTATTACATCAATTTCAAGCAAAACGACTGGGTAGAACTCCTCCCCGTCGCACAACTCGCTTACAACAGCACGGAATCAGAATCAACTGGGAAATTACCGTTCTTCCTAAACTATGGATTCGAACCCGAAGCCTACCGACCGCCAAGGCAAGGGGAAGATGTCGAAAAAGCCATAATCAAGGCAGAAGACATAATCGAATTACACGACGAACTGCGACGACAACTTGAATTCGTCCGACAAAGGATGATCAAATACGCAGACAAAAACAGGATTAGAGGACCAACCCTTCAGGAAGGGGACATGGTCTGGCTCCACCGACACACACGAGGAAACAAGCAAGCAAACATTAAAACAAACAGGCTAAGCGACAAACTCGATTTCAAGAAACTTAGACTTTATAAAATTTTAAGAAAAATCGGAGAAGTAAACTATGAACTTGAACTTCCAGAACGACAGGAAAAACAAGGAAAACATATGCATCCAATATTTCACATCTCCCTGCTAGAAAAAGCACAAATCGACGAAGAAACTGGAAGATTCATCCAGGACGAAATTATCGTCGAAGGAGAAGAAGAAGAATATAAGGTAAAAGACATCGATGCAATAAAAACAGGAGAAGACGGCAAACGACGCTATAGGGTACAATGGGAAAAAGGGGAAGAAAAAGAAGAAACATGGGAACCTATTAAGCATCTTAAGAACTCAATGGCGCTGGTGGAAAAACTCCATCAAAGCCTAGGGATCGTGCCAGCTCAGGATCCATCGACAACATCCCCAAATAATCCACTGATTCCAAAGAAGCAGGGACGACCTCGGAAGAACCCTCTGCCGACTGCGTTATAGCAGCCTGAAGAGCGGCCTCCGCCTCACGCTCCTTCTGCTCCAACTGCTCCAGCTCCGCCAAATTGTCGATACCCCGGGACACCGCACGCGCCGCCTTTTTAGACCATTCCTTACGTTGTTTCCGAAGACGAACAACTTTAGCCATAAGATTCGCGATTTCCTCTTCGACGGCTTCGACCTCACTGTCGAGCTGGTCGCACCGATGGGAAATACGTAATAATTATTAAGGTGTGAGAAACGCCTCACAATGAGATTTGTAATCCTCAACACACTTCAAGCAGCGACTCAAGTCAACCTCGGAAGCTAAACACTGGGATCCCTTCTTTTCGCAATAGAAGCAGGGTTTCATCTCGACGGATTGCAATAATATAAAAGCAGCAAGTGCCACACTCCTGTTAAGTTTCTTCTTCTTTCCTTTTATATTAGCTAAGTCAGCAGATTTTTAAACGCGGAAAGTCATTTTGGCGACGAACAGGTAACAGAACAAGAAGAACACCTACAAGTAGGAGGTGTAGATACTTATATGCTAGATCACCTGGTCTTGGGGACAAGACCAACAGGAGGGGGAGAATCGTGTCACAACCCAGCTCTTATGGTCGCAACAAGGGGCCTACAGGGTAGGCACTCCCGGATTAACGTCGGGCCGCGCAGCCAATCAGGAAGCGGTCGACGGGAATCAACGTCAATTCCAATCGACGCAGGAACGAATCAATTAAGATCATGAGCGATTCCACTCGACTCCAGAATACACGACTGGATATATAAGTTCACTTCAT